CTTCCAGCCATTTGGCGCTCTCTGCACCCTGGCCTTCTGACCATCCTGGAGGAAATGGACCTCACCTTTAGGTGTCAGGTGGTTAATGGGCTATCTTTTGTGACATTTGCTGTCACTTTATAAGTTTGGGTTAGCAAGGCCAGCCTATCTGGTGGAGCTAATGATCTCCTCTTAGGCCCTGTGCCTGCAATTTGAGAAGCTGCCACCAGACGAGTGGTGGTGCCTGGCCACTTGCATTGCACAGTCAGGGGAAGAAAGCCAGAATCCTGACAGCCAGGCCTCCTCGCTATGAGACGGTGTTCATTCACAGTTATGTACATCATATCCAGTCTCTTGGGGCAACAGGTGAATAGACTTCAAATCGAGAGGATATACAAAACTTACGTAACATTGATGTGTATTCCTTATATCAAATATCAACTGTTATTTCTTACTGCTTTGCTTGGCTATTATTTTATTTTGTTTTTACCTTGAGGAGAAACCGTCATAATTTTCAGTTACGCTTGAGGTTTCAAGCCTCAGGCTTCTGTTTGAAAACAGTTTCTGCATGCTTGCATGGCCTGTGATCCATTTAATTTAAAACAGCGTCCAGAACGACCGGAGGTAACTGTGGTTTATCAGACAGAATCTTTGTGTGTCTAAATAGCTCCATGGAGGTCTTTCATCTATTCAGCCCCTCTTCATCTCTCTCCATCTCTTTTGTTTGCCTTCTTAAAATTAAAGTTCATAAAGATTATTTCCTCTCTAAAAGTAATACTCAGACAAAATCATTATTACAGAAAATACAAGAAATTGGAGAAAATCACCCATTATACCAAGATTTAGTCTGTTAATATTTTTGTTTCTTTTCTTCTTTCTACACATTTGAATTTTTTTCTTTTTTGCAGTTCTGATTACTTTTAAAAATTTAAAAATGTTGTGGTAAATATATACATGCCATACATTTATTCTTTTCATCATTAAAAATTAACTTATTTAAAAAGTTTTCCCACCTGGCTAGTGTGGTTCAGTGGATAGAGCGTCATCTCATGGTCCAAGAAGTCCCTGGTTTGATTCCTGGTCAGATGCCTGGGTTGCTGGCTCTATCCCCAGTAGGGGGCGTGCAGGAGGCAACCAATCAATGTGTCTCTCTCGCTGATGTTTCTATCTTTCCCTCTCCCTTTCTCTCTACCTAAAAATCAATAAAAACATATTTTTTTTAAAAAAGTTTTCTCCCTTTTAACTATTTTAGTATACTCTTCATCTCTTTTTAAAGTGGGAATGGCTTCCCTCCAGGCAGCAGCTTTTTCTTCTCATACCTCTTCAACTTAATTTTCTTTCTGCATCTGATCAGAAACCTGGATGTGTTCATTGTTCAGTTGTTCATCAGCACCTGCCTGCATGCCCACAGTCCCCTCGTCTTGAGCATAATTGCCTTGGCAACTACATCTATGTCATCGCAAATGAGAGTGAAGTTCAGATCTGCTATGCGTTGTATAAATGACAATCGACTGAGCCGCTTCAGGTCCTTCCGCCCTTTACCCTTTCGGATTGAAGACTTTGAAATCCCTTTAGACAAAACTGGGCAATTTTTGGCACAAAGTGTCATAATGGTTTTCACATTTTTCTGCTGACATTTGTAACTTTCGGTGAGGCTGAAGGAGCCGATATTGAACCCGGATACTGTAAGCTCAAACGGGCCCATTCGAAGTCCTCTGCCACAGAGTAGTGATGTGCACCTGTGGATTCTTTAAGGATTAATCCATAATTTTGATTATTTGCTCTTTCTTTAGGACTTTATATATTTATTTTCTGGCTTCCCCTCCTGTTGCAGGGCCGCCACCACCCAGTTCAGGGAACGAGCAGCACTCCTCTGCCTCCATCTTCGAGCACGTGGACAGGATCTCCCGCTCCTCCGAGGCCAGCCGGCGGGTCCCCAGTAAGATCCAGCTGATCGCCATGCAGCCCATCCCCGCACCTCCGGTCCACCACCTGGCCGACCGAGTGGCAGAAACCAACAAAATTAACAAAGAGGTATTTGTTTGTATTAAAAGGGACATACATACAAAGCTACATGCTGATTTGGTTAGTGCTTAAAACTGAGTGAAAGTTAGTGTCAGAAGTTTGCTAAAGGTATGAGATGCTGACAGGTATTCTTAATTTTAAAACTAACCTCAGTTTGCCGTGGCTGATGTTGCTCAGTAGTTAGAGCACCAGCCCGGGCACCCAAGCATTTTGAGTTTGATTCCTGGTCAAGGGCACGCACCTGAGTTGCAGGTTTGATCCCTGGCCTCCGGTTGGCCTCGTGCAGGAGGTAACCTATCAATGTCTCTCTCCCATCAATGTTTCTATGTCTCTCTCTCT